TCCTTCAAACATAACAGAGTCCTATATAAAATGTTGACAAAGTTGCTGCCCGCCATTTGACTGGTGTTTTTAATTGTGACTGTAATCCATGATGGACTGTAATCCATGGGACTTGTATAAATGTGATCTCTTTCTTTTTCACGATTAATACTTACTCAACTTAATACGTTTTAAAACTTAAAAAAATGTATCAGTAAAAAATACTCAATTAAAATAAAAATGAAGAAATTTCAAAATATTAAAGATTGTAATTTCATTTCTGGAAATTTTGACAACATATGCAATTAGTTTAGTACAATTTCAATACAATTTTCATTGTCGTAAGTTATTTATTCTCTATTATTTTGCAGTTACGCAGTGGGCAGATCGTAAAGACACGGTTCAGAGTAGAAAATCGAAATCAAGCATAACTGGCTACGATCAGTAAGCAGATGGGTGAAAACTTTAATCAGCCTCCAGCCTGAGTTGGGACCGAGGGTGTGTGGTATCGGTCCTCGCTAAACTGTTCTACCGTAAAGTGCTCGATTTCGCGTGAAGGTCGTCTGGCTACTAAAGGGGGGGGGGAGCCATCCCCTCTGCAGAGGATCGAAATTGTAATGGCATGTCTTCGAATCATCCTCAGGGATGTTTCAAAGACCATCGCCAATAGGCCATTGTGCAGCCCTAGTGTGACGTAAATGACGTACCTATCTATCTTTTTGCAATTTTTGAATACAGTAAAAGTGATGTAACGAAAGCATATTACGGAAAGTCCGATATTACGATACCGTCAAAATACTAATATGTAAGGTACAAAAATGATTTGTTTATAATGCGTTACAAAATATCAGCTTTCCGCTATAGCGACTAAAATTCTTTTGAGAAAAATGCATTTTTCTGTTATTTAAATAGACAAAATTATACGTAAAAGGACATAATGGAAAACGTTTTTATTTATGCCTGATATCATTTTTTTTAAAATTTCATAACCGTCATTGAACAGCAGGCCCAATTTTGGGTTTACGACCACTAATGTTCTGCTCCGTAGCCTTGTAGTTTCGAACCCAATCCAGAAGGCAAGGGAGCTTCTGGATAAAGTATTGGGGAGAAATTTGCCTTCGTGGAGGACTTTTCGATGGAACTAACCCGCATTTGCGTTACATGGAGAGGAAAACCACGAAGATCTACTACGGTTAGCCTGACGGCAAGGGTACTCTAACCCATGATCCGTCTACCACTGAGGATATTCTACGTCAGCGCTGTACGAGCCGGGTGCGGTATTCGCATCGACCAGCCATCGAATTACAAGGCGAATGATTTATCCCCTGAGCCACCACGTCTGTGATATCAATATAGAAAGTGATCTTCATTTCATCTTATTTTCTTCTTCCAATTTTAATCCGTCACGTTATTAAAGCAAACATATGTAAGTAACCTACACCTAAGCTGTCTTTCTATTGATAAAATAAATAAAAAAATATTTTGCTATTATCAGAAATCCTGTTGCATACTTGTATGCATCTTTTGGTGGCTACTTATCCTCAATTATTCCCCTTTATGTTAGCTCACAATTAAAATCAACATTCAGTGTTATCAGAAACTATTGCACACGTGTATTTTAACATTAATATGTGTAGTTGCTTATACTGACAATTTCGCCATATCGATGCTATCGTGGATTGTAGTAGTTACGCGTCGTTCGTCAATTGGAAACAACAAGTAAAGGAGAAAGTTGATAATTTAAAATTTTGTGTTTTAAAAATTGAAAGGAAAAAAAAAACCTTTTACTTTGATAAGCACGTTTGTTCAATTTATTTCACACTTCGAATATTTTTTTCTTTTGAATCATCAACCACAATTTGATTAATTTGCCACTTTGCAGAGAAGTTTCAGAATAAAAAAAAAAAAGAAAATAAGAATCTGTGACATTATATTATCTTATTTATGAAGCTTATAAATTTAAATTTTAAAAGAAATTCGAAGAAACCTAATGCGCTTGTTCTTATTACGGTTTTTTTTCCCCATTACACTAGTTATAAGTTGTTGTTTTGCTTCAAAAATGTTTCTTCCGGGATTGCAATGCTGTCTAGATGGAAATATAACATAAATAATATTGGGCAATGTAATGATATAAGATGTAATATATATATATATAACATTAATAAAAAAAATATTGTGCGAAAATGACTAAAAAATATTTAAAAATTGGCTTTTTCACTTTTTCGAAAAAAAGCAGCAAGAAACAAAACACAAACCTCATTGTATTTCAGTAGAGTATTTGGTAAAAATCAAATAATTATAATATCCAAAAAGAAGTCACAAATAAAGAAATATTTCCCAGTTGAAGTTAATTTTCAGAAAAAGCTGACCTTGAAATTTTAACGTTTTTTTTTATTTATTAGATCACTTGCCTGACTATATTAAATATATATACACTCGCTTACAAACGGTCCAAATACACTTAAAATATATTATATGTTGTTGGTTTCCTTGCTAGGTGCATTTCTTTGTTATATGCTCTAGTATTGATTAGATACATACATATTCTGGGCGTTGTTTCAAATACAAAAGAAACATGAAATATTTCATTACACGGTCCTTAACCTCCCTTAATTTTTTTCGTGACATAAGATTTATAACCATAAAAGCAAAAGTAAATTTAAATCGTATAGGAAAGAATATTCCACGTTGATATGCGGTCAACAATTATTAAATATTTCGCTGTCTGAACGGTTATTCGTTTGCAGAGCACATGCGATTGATATGTGAATGAGTTCTGCAGAGCAAAATGGAAATCATACAGGAAAGTCTGCTTTCTGTTCCGCTCTGCAGACGAAGGAAGACGTAAGTAGGCAGGATAGAGACATATGTGGACAAATTTTTAAAATGGAAGTGGATTGATTTTCTTTCTCTTTTTTCTTAAATTAAATTGAAAAGTCTTTAAAATTTTTTCTTTTAATTGTATGTTTTAAGCAGATGGACTTATTCTGATGAAGAAACTAGCCTTTTTAAAAGTCTTCTCTATATTTATTGACAGAAGCATGTTCGGGCCGAACTCTTACTGAAGGTTAGAAGGGAAATGAAAAGGCCTTCTCACGTATTCTTTGGCCAAGGACAGAAGTATTAACATTTAGCATCCTAATTATAATAATACTTTTTTTCCTGTTGAAATAGACTATATATAGTAATTTTAAAAAATGAATTTTACAATTTAGTGAGGAAAACCATTTCAAAGTTTGAACAAAACGGGGACATGATATAATATTTGGAACAGTTCGAATAATACGTGGTTGCGAAAAATGTACTTGGTAACTTTTACTTATTTATTTATTTAGTTTTTTGGGAAAACTGAACTATTACGCGGTACTGAAGGTAAAATTAAATTTAACATTAAATAATTCAAAAGGTAATTCTTACTTTAGTAACTTTTTCACATCAGAATGTTCATTAAACGTTTCCTTATACGGGAATTTTTATTATGGAATAAATTTCGTATTTTCTGAAAGAGCGATGACTGCGACAATAACTTTTCTTTATTACAGAGAAGTAAATTTTAAGCTTACAATGTGCGGTAGATTACGCCTTACAACACAAAATACATTAGATAACAGAAAAAATACTATTTAGATTTACATTAAAATGAATGTGCACATTATGGTATCAAAATGATTGATAAACAAAATAATGTGATAAAAAGCTTATTGCGATTTGCTGAACGAAAGCGGCGGATGGATTTGTGATTTGCTTATTTTTGTTGATGAAGGGGAAGGAAAGGTCAAGAATAGCCCAAAACATGTTGACGTAATACTTGATAGACCCCTTTGTATACATTTTTCTACTTTTTTAAAATAAAAATCAGTATCAATAACGGAATAATTATGGAAAATAGGAAGTGATGATTAATATGCATTGCTGTTAAATACCGTGAAATAAGAGACAAATAAATGATTAACAGGTAAACGCCGTTATAACATTTATTAATTTTAAACCTATGATAGTCAATAATGTTCATGTCTTCTTTGTTAATTAAGAATGAAAATAGGTTTTAGATCATAAAATCTTTTTTTTTTATGTCATTTTAAGATATAATAATCATCTTTTTCTTATAATTATTTTGAAGTAAAATTAATGAAATTAAATATATCTGGGATAGTGGATAGTGAATTAACATTTTAGAAGTGGGAGGCTGACCCCTAACTAGCTTTAGCGCCTAATTTAATCTAATGCCCTAAATTTCTAGAGATCCTTTGAATTTTGGCAATTTTTTTCTCCTAGAAAAATATCCATAAGAATTCAAAAGTAAAATTTAAAAAGAAAAAAATGAAAACAAAAATTAATATAAATATAAGCTTAAAATTATTCAAAACAAGTGATTGGTGATTAAAGAGCGGTGATTACCCCAGCAGGAACTAAGATTTTATAATTGATAGGGCCTTATTATCACACAGATCTTCAGCCCTGAGCACACCGTCTTTTAGGGACTAAAGTCAGTACAACTGATAAAAATATGCGTTTTTAACAGTATTTATTTATTTATTTTTTTGAAAATTAATTTATGTTTGACATGCATACTTCTTCATTTTGTAAGGCATTATTACGTTGATTTAATATTAATTACTTTTACGAACAAAAATCTTCCCGCGTCTGCGCTTATATAGTTATATGCATATTATAAGTAGAATTCTATGGTCTTGCAAATTTACAAATACTATTTGTATTCTATACAAAATTCATAATTTAGAATTTTTTTATTCCGGAAAGAGGTAATATTTTTAAAAAATTATATAGGGTTTGCCAATGTTTTTTTTTTTTTTTTTTTTAAGAGAAACTATTTTTAATTGATAACTTTTCGACTTTGAAAGTTATAAATGGGCTCTAAACGGTAATGAAGGCCTTGGGTCAAAGTTCACCATAATCGGGTCAGGCTTGTGATAATAAGGTTCTTAGTAAAACTAATTCATTAAAAAAAAAAAATCGAGAGAAGAAAAATTTCTCAATAAATTTTGGTGGAGTGAAATTACCTGTCCTAAATCTATGGTCAAGTTCACTTCATTGTACTTCATCCCCCTGGAGAGGGGTGGACTCTGATACCATTTTTCCGTTCCATCAATAGCATGTTCGGCGGGGTGGGCGGTGTTCGGATTGCTGGGATCGCAGTAGTCACACACTTGTCCCTGGATAAGGTTGATATTGGGGTTGTCCCGACTGTCCGTGTTGGCTCCCACCAATTTACAGTAAAGTTCTGGTTCATTCACCCCAACACCACAGGTCGCACTAGCCACTATCTTTCGACCCTCGGCCAAATTGAAATAAGGGGGATTCAATACCTCCTGGGCATTGCTGGACACCACGCCCAGCAGCACAAATACGAGGAGGATGATCATCCCGTGTTCCTTCTTCCACTGCTGCAGACAGAAAAGAAAACTTTCTTTAACCTCCCTCTTAATCTTTCGCAGAGTTCATTTTTGTTGGGTGGGGGGAGAGAGTTCACTCCTTATCATTTAATAAGAGGATGTGAAGAGACTTTTTTTCTTCCCTGAGTGTTCCGTTACTAATAAGTCCCGGAATGGGTCGCGTCTTCCTCTTGTTATATAAAAGTTTTACTTCTAAGTCGCAATTCAAACAATACTCAATGTTTGGGATTCCGATTAGCGACTTAAAGTTCCTAAATGGCCTCTATCTTCGTATATTTATATCTAAATAAAATCGAAGTGATTATTTTTATAAGTTACAATCAATACAATATTTAGTGCATCGGACCACCCGGATAACAATATAAATTTCCGGAATCGGCTGCACTACGATTCTCAACGTATAGAATAAAATTTGTTGAGATTATTCTTATTACATATCTAAACAATATTTATTATAAGTCCTTCCGAATAATATAATATAAAGTTCCTGTTCAGGAAATTTTATTCGTATAAAATAAAACGATAATATTTTAAAGTTGTAATCCTAACAATTAAGTATGGTGAATTAAGTAGTGTTCGGATTTTCTTTATTAATAATATTTTTTATTTAGTTTTAAGTAATCACAAACAAGGCTGTTGCCTGTCTTATTAAATTATCCTCAATTTAAAAACTGAAAGCAAAAGATACATTTTTAACATAATGCATTAACATTAACTAATATTTTCTTCGCTAATTACGCAGAAGATAAAGAAAAATTAAAAAAAAAAAAATGTCCCAAAGTAGCTTGTTTTGGACGAAAAAATAGGATATTTTCTTAAAATTTGAAACTTACATTTTGATTTCGAACCAATTTAAAACTGATGCTTCCTCCCAAAAAATATAAAAGAAATTCGTAAATTCAGCATCCTCATAAAACACTACTACGTATATGAGCAATTCTACAAATAAACGCCAATTAGACGGCCAAAAAAAAAAATTTTTTTTTGGGGGGGGGGGGCACACTATTTCTACTTGAATTTTCTTCTTTTTTACACCCTAAAAAGGCAGGAAAAAATCGTGAACATGAAATTTTTTCTTTGTGACATACTTTAAATGACAAAATACCAATTTTCAATTTTCCCCGATTTTTCATTTTACGAACTTTGATTAAGTTTTTTTATTTTTGTTTTTTGTACTAAAATATAATCTTGTAGTATGAAATCTCTATAAATACATTTTAGAGAGACATTATAATAATATTATATTTATGTAAAGGTCGTTTTATCTGAATAAATGACTCAGATAAAAGCCTCATTTTAAAAACGAAATTTATGACACATTTTTTACGTATAAGTAATTAATATGTTTGTTGTTGCTGTTGTTTGTTGTTGTCTTTGATGGCTATAGAGGACATAGTTTCAATCCTCTACTCGCCACTAGCTAATTTAATATGTTTTTAATTTTTTTTAAATATGCTTCATTTTTATCGAATGAGTTATCATTTTAATTATTTTTTTGCTCATAAGATGGATTGCTCATAAGATGATGATTTAATGTTTATATTTTAATTATCGTTTGCATTATAATTGTTGTTCCAAAAATTTTTTTTAGGATATTGTCAATGGATAAGATAAAATCTAAATCAAAAATCAAAGCGGAGAAATTGCGAGTTAAACGCGAAAATGAGAAAAAAAAGAAAATTGCAGAAAAAACTAGATTGCGAATGTATTATGTAAATAAAAAAACCACCGAAAAAAGGTAAGAACATTTTTGTTTGCAAAATTTTTAAAAGTTATTATTTAACTTCATTTTGATAACCATAAATATAATAATTTTTTTTTTTTAATTTGAAATATGTTTTTTTTTTTTAAAGAAATCCACTTTTACCTGAAACAAATATAAATATTTGTAATGTTGCTGTTTCACAAGAAGTAAACAACACGCAGCATCAAAAAATGATTGAATCTGAAAAGAATCGTCTAAGAGAAAAACATTCTTCATGATCTATGCCGATGAAGCTTCGAAGAAAAATATGCTCATTAGAAAAACAACTTGAAGAACAAAAAAAAAGGACTAATTTTTGGAAAAATAAATATAATAACTCACAGAGTAAATTTTTGAATATGAGAAAGAAAAACAAATGTCTTTTTCGAAGTGTATCGTACGCCACGAATACTGTGAAAAGTATAAAGCATCAAATTTCTCAAGTTCAAACCAAAAGTGAAAAAGAATTACTTGCATCTGCTTTTTCAAATCGCTTGTCAAATAAAAGTCGTGCTGTAGATAAAAACTTAAGTCTTTATAACCATCATTATTCTAAAAAATTTAAGAATGAATCGTTTGAATCAGTCGAGGCGGTTGCAAAAATGCAAAGTGAAAAGAGTCGTAATTTAAAAACCGATGTGAGAGTCGATGTGATTTTTATTTACGAGATGAAAATTCTTCATTAGCTCCCGGCGAGCTAAAGACTTTATTACAAAAAATAAATTGAAAATGCGACGACGTTACTTGGCTGATACCATTTATAATTTATATAAAAAATATTGTTCTGAATCGAAAAATACAATTTCTAGAGCACTGTTCTTCAAACTTCGACCGTTTTATGTAAAGAACCGCAAAATTACCGCTCGTGAAACTTGTTTATGTAAAGAGCATGAAAATTTTAAACTTATGTTCGAGAAATTACGCTTTTATGAAATTGTAAAAGTTGAGAATGTAAAAGAATTTGTAAAATCTATTTGTTGTGATGATACTAGCAAAAAGTGTATGTTTAAAGAGTGTGATAAATGTGCTAATTTTGAATTACCAAATATAACATCCGAAACTATGACATGGTACTATTCATGGGAAAGCGAAAAAATAACACGAAAAGGAGCAAAAGACTTAGTGTATAACGTTAAAGTGACATTTAAGAAAAAAAATAAGCTGCAATATTACCGATTTGATAAAAAAAATTCAATGAAAAGATACCTAAATTTTTGATTCATGCGTATAGAACTTCACATCAATTTACAATTTTAGAAAAGTTAAAAAACAATTTGCAAAAAAAAGATGCTCTTCTTGTTGTTGATTTTTCGCAAAATTATATTTGTAAATATGATGAAGAGATTCAAAGTGTCCATTTTGGTGCGTCAAAGAAACAAATTTCTTTACAAACCGGTGGTTTTTATTTAAAAAATGATTCTGATCAAGTTATCTTTGAATCGTTTTGTTCAATTTCTGAATGTTTACGTCACGATGCCTCTGCAGTTTGGACTTTACTTAAACCTGTATTTCAGAAACTTCATACTTGTAAACCAGACATTCATTTTCAAAGTGATGGACCCACAACACAGTACAAGAATAAAACTAATTTCCTTTTGTTCAATCATTTCTGTAAAGAACTGAATTTAAAAAATGCTACATGGAATTTCACTGCTGCTGGCCATGGGAAAAGCGCTGCTGATGGAATCGGTGGAAACGTTAAAGCAATGTGTGACACAGCTGTATCATGTGGCAAGAGTGTTCTTTGTGCACAAGACATGGTTGACATTATTAAAAGTAAAGATACTAAAATTACACCATTCTTAGTAACTGAAGAAGATATGAAATTAGTAGACAATTTAATACCAGAAAAAGTGCCATCAGTGCCTCAAACAACTGTTGTGCATCAAATATTCTGGACAAGATCTGAAGAAAGTCAGCTCAATTTTCGATATTTGTCTTGCGATTTATGTATTTTGAATGGTCATTGCAATCATTATGACCTCGAAAAAAGTACAATAAAATATACCGAAACGGTTTCCAATGAACTTGTGGACGCTGTAAGTAGCTTAAAACTTACCCCAGAAACTTATGCTGCAGATGATTGGATTGTAGTCATTTATGATAAATGGTATCCGGGAAAAATAGAAAAAATTCAAAATGGTATTTTGACAGCTAATTTTTTATCTAGAAAAAGATGTGTATTAACATGGCCAGCAACACCTGATATTCAAGATGTCTTACCGAAGCAAGTACTGTGTAAAATTCATGCTGAATATGAAAAAAAAATGAAAAATAAAAGTACTTCATGTTTATCCGATACCGAGTTTAAGTCAGTTCAAAAAGCAGCCAAAAATTGCATTATCTATAATTAATTTATAATAAGTTATTCACTTATATGTAAATATTATTTATTGTAAATAAAATTTTTATATAACTGAAACAATTACATATTACAAGAATTTTGAGTTTAGCTTTATTATAGTAGCAAAATTTCATAACAATTAATACAACAATTCAATAAAAAAAAACAGCTAGGTTTGAACACTATTATAAATTAAAATTTAATTGAAACTAAAGTAAGTTATTATTTTTATTTTATTACAAATAATGAAATGATAATGTCTAAATAACATGTATTTATATAGATTTTATACTATAGGATCATATTTTAGTATGAAAAACAAAAAAATTAAATCAAAGTTCGTATATTGAAAAATCGGGGGAAATTTGAAATTGGCATTTTGTCATTTAAAGTATGTCACAAAGAAAAAATTTCATGTTCACGATTTTTTCCTGCCTTTTTAGGGTGTAAAAAAGAAGAAAATTCAAGTAGNAACTGCCCCCCCCCCCCCCAATTTTTTTTTTGGCCGTCTAATTGGCTTTTATTTGTAGAATTGCTCATATTAAATTAGCTAGTGGCGAGTAGAGGATTGAAACTATGTCCTCTATAGCCATCAAAGACAACAACAAACAACAGCAACAACAAACATATTAATTACTTATATGCAAAAAATGTGTCATAAATTTCGTTTTTAAAATGAGGCTTTTATCTGAGCCATTTATTCAGATAAAACGACCTTTACATAAATATAATATTATTATAATGTCTCTCTAAAATGTATTTATAGAGATTTCATACTACAAGATTATATTTTAGTATAAAAAACAAAAGTAAAAAAACTTATTCAAAGTTCGTAAAATGAAAAATCGGGAAAAATTGAAAATTGGTAATTTGTCATTTAAAGTATGTCACAAAGAAAAAATTTCATGTTCACGATTTTTTCCTGCCTTTC